CATTGAGATATAAATATTTCAGAGAGCATAGGAGTATTGAAACTTTTTTTTAGATATATATTAGTTGGCAGATAGCAAGGAGGTGCAGATGATGAGGTACCTAGCCTTTTTTACTTGGTCGTGCCACTCAAGCAAAGCTCCAGTGTCATTGGAGTGCTGGGGGACTAATCTTTATTTTGGATGGATGCATTTTGGGGTTGGTGGGAGGGAATAAACAAAAATATAAATCATCTAATCCCCTTATTTTTTTTAAAACCCCTCAAGGGATTAAAAACATCATGATATTCTTTATGAGAAAAATAAATGCCATTCTATGCTGTGTATTCACTTGGGGGTCTTCTGTTGATTTATAAACTTTCATTAAAGCTTCATCATACCTTCTTGACTGACATATACTTGGTATTGCACTTATTTTACAGGTTAAACATTAGGAGGATAAGTTTCTTTCAGAGAACCCAGCCGACCCATAATCAGGTTTTTGTTCTCTACCTCCTGTCTTTCAGGCACAGTGTTTAGGAGTTAGATTTTGAATTAGATCTGTACATTTTATTGTGCCTCTTTAATAGATTATATGATATTTATATGGGAACTATAGATGTATTTTCCTCTAAGAAGGAACAGTGCTCCTGTGTAAGGCCTTTCCATGACACTTTGTGCCATCCTTATTAAATCTTTTTTTCTCAGTGTCTTGGGATCTTTCAATGTCCAATAAAATAAGCTATTAGCCACTGTCTCGGGTGCAGGAAAAGATGCAGACCATTCTTGGATCTGCCCTGGCTCCTTGTCAGATTCACTCTTTTTGACTCCTCATTGGATCTTGTCATTTCTCTACTTGAGATCCTAACATCCCCTAATTGTGCTTCAATTTCTTTGATTAGGCCCTAAAAGCACTAACAACATATGTACTCAAAATGACAGTGGGAGATGGTAATTGCCTAAAAATCATTTTGTCTTCATTTGTGTGGGAAATTGTGAGGAATACAACTTCAGGAATAATTATGTTAAAAACAAATTGTGTAAGATAGAAAGAGGATTCGTCGTAGGACACAACTTTTTTTTTTTTTTTAGTAGTTCTCAAATTCTTATTTAAGCAGAAGAGTGATGTGTATATATGTGCTTTTTTTTTATTCTTCAAATACATTTGTCTCCATTTACCCACCACCACTTTTCCCTGCCCCACCCACCCCCACTTCCATCCCTCAATCCTTGCGCACATTGGCTTTGTCCGTGGGTCCTTCATACATGTTCCTTGATTTAACCCTTCCCCTCCTTTTGCCATTACCCTCCTCCCTCCTTCCCTCTTGTTTCTGTTGGTTTATTTTTTCTTTCAGTGTTGTTGGTTATATTTTCCTTGTTTGTTTGTTTTGTTGATGAGGTTCCACTTATAGGTGAGATCATATGGTATTTATCTTTCACCCCCTGGCTTATTACACTTAGCATAAACATGCTATTAAACAGTGAATGGGTCAATAATGAGATCAAAGGAGATATCAAAAAGTTTCTGGAAACAAAGGAAAATGAACACACAACAGTCCAAAACTTATGGAACACAATGAAGGCAGTCCTCAGAGGGAAGTTCATAGAAATACACGCCTACCTAAAAAAGATAGAAACATTTAAAATAAACGACCTAACCCTACAGCTTCAGGAACTGGAGAAACAACAACAAACAAAGCCCAGAGCAAGTAGAAGGAAGGAAATAGTCAGGATCAGAGCAGAATTGAAGGGCATAGAGACTAAAAGAACAATTCAAAGGATCAATAAATCCAGGAGCAGTTTCTTTGAAAAGATAAAATCAACAAGCCTTTAAGTGGACTCATCAAGAAAAAAAGGGAGAGGCCCCAAATAAATAATATCAGAAATGAAAGAGGAGAAATAACAACTGACACCACTGAAATACAAAAGATTGTAAGAAATTACTATGAGTAATTGTATGCCAAGAAATTTGAAAACCTCGATGAAATGGACAAATTCCTAGAAAAATATAACCTTACAACACTGAATGAAGAAGAAGCAGAAAGCCTGACTGATAAAAGCTTGTGAAATTAAAGCAGTAGTCAAAAAAATCCCAGCTCACAGAAGCTCTGGACCAGATGGTTTCATAGGAGAATTTTACAAAACATTTAAGGAAGAGCTAACCCCTGTCCTTCTCAGACTATTCCAAAAAATCCAAGATGAGGGAAGACTCGCAGACTCTTTTTATGAGGCCAGCATCACCTTACTCCCAAAACCAGATAAAGACCCTACAAAGAAAGAAAACTACGGGCCAGTATCGCTGATGAACATAGATGCTAAAATCCTCCACATAATATTGGCAAACCACATCCAGCAATTCAGTAAAAGGATCCCCCACCAGGATCAAGTGGGATTCATCCCAGGGATGCAAGGATGGTTCAATATTTACAAATCAATAAATGTAATACATCACATAAACAAAAGGAAAGACAAAAACCACATGATCATATCAGTAGATGCGAAAAAAGCGTATGATTAGGTACAGCATCCATTTATGATAAAAACACTTAGGAAAGTGGGAATAAAGGGGACATACTTCAACATAATAAAGACCATATATGAAAAACCTACACCAACATCATATTCAGTGGGCGAAAACTAAAAGCTTCCCCACTAAGATCGGGAACAAGATAAGGATGTCTGCTTTCACCACTTCTATTCAACATAGTATTGGAAGTCCTAGCCACAGCAGTCAGACAAGAAAAAGAAATAAAATGCATCCAAGTTGGAAAACAGGAGGTAAAGCTGTCATTGTTTGCAAATGACATGATAGTATACATTAAAAACCCCATAGACTCCACCAAAAAACTACTCAACCTAATAAGTGAACTTGGCAAAACAGCAGGATACAATGTCAATATTCAGAAATCGGAGGCATTTTTGTACACCAACAATGAAATGGAAGAAGCAGAAACCAGGAAAAAAAATCCCCTTTGCTGTTGTAACAAGAAAAATAAAGTACCTAGGAATAAACTTAACCAAGGAGGTAAAAGACCTGTATGCAGAAAACTATACAACACTGAAGAAGGAAATTAAGGAAGACACAAATAAAAGGAAGCATATACCATTTTCATTGATTGGAAGAATTAACGTCATCAGAATGTCCATACTACCCAAAGCAATTTATAGATTCATGAAACACAACTTTTTAAAGTCCCTCCAAAGATTCAAAAGAGAAGCAAAGCTAAGGAGATCCTAGTTAAATAAATACATTGACAGATAAGAAGAAAGAACGAACACTGGTCTAGCTATATATATGATGTTACATAAACTTTAAAGCAGAAATCATTTGTTAGTAACAACAATAATTCTGAATTTATATGAACTTCATAGCATCTAAAAATATGAAGCGAAAGTTGACAGAATTATAAGGAACTACTGATAAACCATATTTATAGTAGAAAATTTTAATAACTCAAAAATTAGTGAGTTAAAAAATACTAGACTAGAGAATCCTTACACAATACAATTAATGGAGATATATATATATAGGAGATATTTTATATCTGTATAAAACTTTGAACTTAAAATGTGTGATTAAAGGTACATGGAACATTTATAGAAATTGACCAATTACTACTTTAAGCAAATCTCAATCGATGTCACAATTTGAAACTATACCACATTCTGTGAATGTGATACATAAATTAAGAACAAAATAAAAACCTAAAATACATTAGACACTAACAACTGTACTTTAGATAAGTTAAATCCAAGGAGAAATTAAATTATAAATTAGGAAATATTTCAAAGTGGACTACAGTGAAAACTACATATCCAAAGCTCTAGAATGTAGCTGAAGACTTATATGGAGCAAAATGGATGCCCTTAGGTTTTTATATTAGAAAAGAAAAATATGTATGTATTCTGTTCAAAAATTAGGGGAAAATGGCAGAATAATATATAGAAGTTGATAAAAGGGAACTATTAAAGCAAAGTGCAAACACATGTGCTAAAAAGTAATAGAGAAGACTATCAGAAACAACTCATTAAAAAAATACACAACTAGGCAAAATTGATCAAGGAAAGAATATTGAGGGTGAAAAGGGAACAGAACTAAAAAAAATAAAATTTTAAATAACATAATAGGTTAATTTGAATATATTTATAAAAATAAAGGCCACTTCCTAGTTTTATGAAGCTTCAAATAAGTGAGAAACTGTTTTTTCCAACTTGTTCCAGATGCTGGAAAGAAAGCTCCCTAACTTCTGTTATCTAACTTTTGTTACCTTGATAATGAAACCAGAGAAGATGCATATTTAAGAAGGAAAAATAAAATTCCATCTTTCTTAAAAGCATATCAGCAAAAATCCTAAACAAAACATTCAAATGAAATACAAGAATATTGGGAAAGGATCATACATCAGAGGTAAGAAACGTCCATTATGGGAACACAAGCAAAAAAGAAAAAAATCCATCATGAGATAAACATGAGACAAATCTCAATTAAAGAAAATTTTACAAAATATCTGGTCAGTGCTCCTCAAAACTGTCAACATCTTAAAAAACAAGGGAAATCTGAGAAAATGTCATAGCCAAAAGGAAGCTGAGGAAACATGACAATTAAATGCACTGTGATATCCTGGATGGAATCCTTGAACAGAATGAAGACATTAGGTTAAAATTACCTAAAGCAGTCTGAGTATGGATTTTATAATACTGTTTTAATGTTGGTTCATTAAGTGTTATAACGTGTCATGCTTATGTGGGATGTTTAGCAATAGGGAAACTCAGTATGGAGTATATGGAAATTCTCTACACTATCTTAGTAATGTTTTTATAAACTTCAAAAGTATTCTAAAAAACTAAGTTTATTTTTTTAAAAAGTAATTCAGTAAAAATTGTCAAGCAGACAATTTTCATCTTAATTATTTTACTCTGAATACATAAACTTTGCATCATTGGTAATTTTCCTTAAAGAAAAAGGCTCTGTGATAAAATCAAGATTGTGTTTCCAGGGTTAACACACATGTTTTTCTCCATAGATAGCAGCGAATGCCTTGCAGATGATTGCAGCATAATTGCTGGAGGGAATCTCGCTGGTTGGCACCCAGACTCTGCCGCTGTGTTATGGCGAAGAATCTTGGGAATCCTTGGAGATGTGAATAATATCCAATCACCCAAGATTCATGCCAAAGTTTTTGGCTATCTCTATGGACTGTGGTATAAACTAGCAAAGGTACTCTTGCTATGTTACCTTTTATTCTAATATGGAAAAATTGACCTAGTTTAACATAAAAACTGCGTTACGATTCACTACTGAACATATCCTGGAACAAAAATTAGGTGTTTATGCAAAGTATGTTTGATTATCAAAGAATAAATAATAATAACTATAGTTTGGTCATTTTATAAATATGGAAGAATTACTTCATTTAATGCATAAATGCATTACTATAGGATATTTAAGACTAGGACATTGTTCAGTCATTTTAAGTACTCTTTTTATAAAAGTGATACTGGTTTTATTATACAAAATTTGAAAAATGTAGAAAAATACTAAGAAGTAAATTGACACCACCCCCCAACAGAGATTACTGATATTAAAAATGGTCTTATTTCTAGAGATAAGCAAATTTTTATTAGAGTACATACAATTTTTACTCAGGTTTTTGTTCATAACATGCATTTTCCTCATTTTTTGTCAATCCGTGATTTATGTTTATACAGTATAACTCGTTGAACCATTTCTTATCATTTGGAATTCAGGACCTCTCCAAGCATTAATTTTCAAGGAAAAACAATGCCCTAATTTTGTATTACTTCTAAAAACACATATAATAAGTTAAATATACAATTTGAAAGGACAATAGATTTCATAATAAAAGAACACTTGTAAATATTGTAGGTTTCCACTTAACTTATAGAGACTTTATTGGAAGCAGCTTTTTGACCATGGAACACAATGTTGGAATATTGTTGGGATAAACTGTGTTGCCTTCCCTAAAATCTTCCTCTTTGTGAATTAGATACGAGATAATCTAGCAATAAGCCTGGATAACCAGTCTTCTCCATCTCCTCCGGTCTTGATCCCACCACTCAGAATGTTTGCATCATGGCTATTTAAGGCAAGTCAATATGTTTTTATTCCTTTATTGTAATTTCCTCTTCTTTCTGAAATTGCATTTTAAAAATGTAATTGTCCAATACTGGATGTTTCAAAGATGGGCTGGGCATTACTAAAGCCATTGCATCGCACATCTCCATAAACAACTCTTGTGGAAAACTGAGAAGTAAATGACATGTTGAAATTCTCTGCTGCATCTGGAGTTGGTTAAATCTTTAAACATTATCTTCTTGGCAGGCAACGACATTGCCAAATGAATATAAGGAAGGCAAACTACAAGCCTACAAATTGATCTGTGCCATGATGACCAGACGCCAGGATGTTCTGCCAAACTCAGACTTCCTTGTGCATTTTTACCTTGTGATGCACCTGGGATTAACCAGTGAGGATCAGGTATTCTATGATTCTTTTATCATGGCACCCCATTGGGAATATGCATATAACTTTTTGCAGGTTAAATTGGGGTTTATGAAAATACATCGGAAGTATTAAAATTCTCAGTAGTTTTGACTCCTTTTCACACAACAACACACTGGTCTTTCCAAAGTGTAAATAAGATTTTATCACATACCTGTTTCTTCTCCCCAATGACTTTATATTGAATCTACCAAATTTGAATTTTATTCTATGACTTTTACACTTCTATATAATCTAACCTCTGCTTACATTGTCAGTTTCAAACATGCTGTTCAACCATATTTTGTTGGGGTTCTACATCACATATTGTTTGAAGAAAATGATTCTCGTCATTTAAAAATGTTTGAATGTTCGAAAATTGTTGTTTTAGAAGTTAGAATGTATTTGGAAGACCTCATCCCTCCATTAGGGGTCCTCACTTTTCTTGAGTAGGAATTAGTTTCATGTCTCCCACAAAGAAATATGATTGGTAGTTAGGTTGAAACAGAAAGGCCAAAGGAGCTGCTAGCAGTTACCCCTTTTTGTAGACCCTGGGTGTGCAGGGTGAGATGTGGCCAAACCCTGGCCTTCCTCCCTTAAGAAGTCCCCTGCCAGTGGGCGGAGGATGGGAAGGAAGCCAGGAACACCCTGACTTTTGATTTTCTGTGTGAATATCAAACAAGCAAGTAATATGATTGGCTTGAACTTCACAGAGGTTATTCTGGACTCTGTTTGGAAGATGGTTTTAAAAAATGTGAGAGTGGTAGGATAGGATAGAATAGATTGTCTTCCTGGAGACAGAGAGATTAATTAGGAAGTAGTTAAATGAATATATAATAGATTTCTTAAAAGATTAGAAGATGGAGATTGGAAGAAGAAGTAGGAAAGAGTCAAGAAATTTTAAGGCATTTAATTTTATCACTGGGTCTATACCTAGTGATAAAGAGCTACATGGCGTGTAGGTATTAATTAATGAACTTGAATTATTTGTGACCTATAAGTAGCCATCCTTTCTGTATTTCTTTCATTCTTGAATGTGTGATGTAGATACACAGACTTTTTGATACCCCCAGGATATATGTAACAGGTCATTCTCCTGATTAACCAGCTTTTCTTTGTTGCTTCACAATGCACTTAAATTAAACCTTCCCAACCGAACTATTGCAATATATTCCCTGATGAACAATTTGAACTTTAATCATTGAGCTTTTATTTGAAGTTAATAGCTATACTGAGTTGTTTTTGTTATATTTGCTCCAATTTAAGCATTGTGTAAAGGACATTTGTGTATCAGGCTAGACTTAGACCCACAGTCTTTATTTCCTAAATAATAGAAATAGGTGGGAAAGTAGAAGTGTTTGTGCTCAGATATTTTGCAGCCATCATTGCAGGTGGAAGCATCTTTTGCAGAATGTTACTACTCAAGGTGTGTGGTATAAATAGGGAAGAGAATTAACTCTCACAGATAATAATGAGATCTCTCATTGACAGAACCAAGAGAAGATGATGCTGTTAACACTGATGCACTTGCAAGCAATATTTTGCTAAGATTTTGCAGGAAAAGAAATTTACTTAAAAATAATAATCAACTATACAATCTCTTTTAATAAAACAAATTGGAAGTTAACAGAAAACAGTATTTCTAGACTAGGTTTTCTTGAAAGTCATATAAATAGGTATGAGTTTAGAAACATCTTTCTATTTTTAAGTGTGTTGGAGTGAAAATGAAACAATAAAATGAGATGTAATAAGTATAACATTTGAGAACCCAAAACATTATTTCAAACAATAGGATTTTACATTGTAGGAAAAATTTCCAAATTTTATACTTAAAATCATTTTCACATTGTAATGTATGCCGTGTTTTTTGTTAATTTGATCTTTTGTAGTTCATTATAAAATGCATAAATCTTAAATGATGGCCCATTGCTAGCAGTATTTCCAGTGTCCAGACTTCTAAGACAAAATGGGGATATCATAAATATCTATTTTATAATCTTCCTGTTGTTTGAATTTTTAGGTGTTTAATAGAATTGACTTTTGCTTTAACCTTTACAATTATTGGTATATGTTTTAGAAACCCTGGCTGCCAAACAGAATTACTATAAATAAACTTTATTCCTTTGCTAGAAAAAAATTACACAGAAGATCTTCTAATGGGACTTCTCATTTAAATGAGATATATCTCTGGTAATTAGTTTAACTTTTGGCCCAATGTCTAAATAGATCATGGTGGTTGTTCCAGAACTTATATATACTTCTGGAAACACATGTTATATTATAAAAGGAAAAGAAAGATTTTACTGTAAATAATGCAGTTAAATTCAATTTTTTAATTGACCAACTGTGTACCTGTGACAACTACCATCTCAGGATTTGTTTCCATCTTGTGAGAGTTCTCAAAGAGCCACACTTTTATGTAGTTTGGCACTAAAGCCTTTGGTCATGAAGAGAGAACCTTATTTTTTCTTATTTTTTTAATAAGATAAGTAATAGCAAATAATTTTTAAAGTTTTAACATCTCTTAGTTTCACAAACAAAATCCAAGGTGCATTTCTCCTTTTCGCCTCTGGGTGGCACACTTGTCTGCATAACTCTTAGCTGTGCGGCTCAAGAACCACCACTGAGTTTTAAAACTTCCATGAGACCCAGGACCCTGTGAGCATTACAGTATGGCATGGTCATTTTACAAATGCTTTCCTAAATCTGAAAGTATGAAAATTATGTCAGTAGTGGCTAATAATATGTTGAATCTGAAATAAGTTTCAAGATGTCAAAAATCTTTTTTTTGTCCATATGTAAGGGTGTTTATATTAATTGAAGACTTTTTTAATTAAAAATACTATTTGCGAAATAGATGTCTCACAGATGGTGTTCTGTGATACAATCGTGTGAAGTCTTGGTTTCATCTAATATAGCAATTTTCAACCGGTGTGCTATGGCAAACTGGTATGCCCCAATAATTTTTAAAACATGCAAAACCTGACTATTTAGTCATAGGCACTGACCTCTTTACATTAGATTCTCAAATTTAAAAAATGACAACAGCCAACATAACAATAGCTGTCAGTGTGAATGAATCAAAATTATATCTATTTTTTTGTCAGAGCAGCACAAAAATATGACCTTTTCAGTGTGCCACAGAATTTTAGTAATTAGATTATTTGTCCCACAAGGTGAAAAAGGTGAAAAATCACTGATCTAATATGATAGCAAAATAATTATGTAAACAAATGTATAGTCACCTCTATATTTAAATAATAATAATTTATATATTCAATAGCCAGAATTCAAAATGTTACATTCTAAACCAACTGTTTTTAATATTGGTTGGACCAGTTTTAGCTATTCTAATAACTTTAATAATTTAATAGCTAAAACAATGACCTTATCAAATAGCATTACCTACACTGTAAGTTTATGGTTTTTTAGTGTAATTGAGAAAAATACTTTGATACAGCTTTATTTTTCCTCAACTATAAATTTTTCAAAAATTGATTCTGTTAATGGTTTAGAAAAATAATTGGGATCATAAAGACTCTCAGAATAACTGTAAATTATGAATGAAATTTGGGGTGCTTGTGGGACTGCCCAGCCTGCCTATGAAAGGTCTTCCAGCCAGCCTTCCTCTACTTAGCTGCTTTGTGCCTGATTCAGGCAGAGGTCTTTGTTTCTCCAGCACCCACAGTACCAGACTCTGCTGGGAACTGCATGATGCTGTCCCATTGATTCTTCTCTGCAGTTCAGTTAAATAAATACTATAATCCATTCTATAAATAAGTAAGGCTCAAAAAAATACTGAGAACTTTTGCCCAATGCCACATATTTTTTAAAAAGACTATTAGAATTCACAGGCAAGTCTAGCATATTCCACAGGTTATGTCTTTTTCATTGATTCACAGCTGACAAGCGTATCAAGCAAACAGTCTTTGGTCCTATTCCTCCATTCTCTCTTGTTTTATTATATATATATTTTTTTAATCCACACCTGAGGACATTTTTTTCACTGCTCTTGGGGAGAGAGGAAGGGAGAGAGAGAAACATTAATGCAAGAGAGAAGCAGTTGTCAGTTGTCTCCCGTATATGCCTAGACCAGGGGATCATATGTGCTTGTGCCCAGAACCGGGATTGAACCTGCAATGCTTTGGCTACTGATGACTGTTTACCCATGCAGCACTGGCCAGGGCATCTTTCGTTTTGTTTTACCTGGGCTCTGGCTTTGGTCTCACCTCACTTCAGAATCCTCCTTTTTGAAATACTATCTCACGACCAACCTGAAAATATTTTTTCATAGTAGCTTCCTAGTTCATCACCCTCTTTTAATTTCTCTTCAAAAGCTCTTCCTAGTTTTTCTTAGGTTTTCCTAATGCTTAAGCAGATTTTTTACCTCAGTCTTCCCAAAAATATTTGGACATGAAAGAAGTTATGATTTGGATGTATTAAGAACAGTTCCTATTAATTTCATCATTATTTAAAATGTATGGAAAGATAAATGTGTGTGAAATGGAAAAGGATAGTTGAGGAAAAGAATTTTATTTTCATGTTTCTAAGAACATATATCAAAGACTGGAAAGTTTTCTTTGCTTAAAACAATAAGCTATTTTTTAATTGACTTACAGATTTAATGTCTTAATGTAGTTTGGTATACAGCAATGTTGAATTCTCTTTAAATGAAAAGCTTATGTTAATGCACAATTATTGTTGCAAATTTGCATGTAAAAATTCTGGGAAATATTGGCCTATGTCATTTTCATCTATACAGTCATATTATTGTATTCTGTAACACCAGAAAAGCATGAGGCCTCTTACAGCTGGAGGAATATGTATTGTTCTTCCTAGATATAACAATCCACTTACGAATCAGAATCATAATCGTATAAAGTTATGATACAGTATAATATAGTGTGAAATAGTATAATAGTTCAGAGCGTGGATTTCAAGACCACCCGCGTGAGCTCCAATCTTGGCTATACCCTTATTCAAGTCATTTGACCTTG